TCCAGTATGCTGAGTTATGACAAGCTATTTTCTCAGCTCGTGTATTTTTGGAGACATAGGGAAAAATTCTTCGTTTCCTGTGGGGTTTAGGAGTAGGGCGGTTGCGCATCTGAAATCGGCAACACGCACTAGTTGACCTTGCAAGGAAGGCTATGTTTCACCTTCGTTGACGATAGCGCGCGTTTTGGGTTTTCCGCTGCGTGGGGCCGGAGCGATTTTGCGAGCGCAGCTTTCCACCCCACTTCTGTAGATTTCGGGCTCAAAATATGCGAAAATTGGGGCGACGAAATGTTTTCAGTCACGTCAAACATGTTTGAGTTTACGGAAGGTACAGCATTAAAAATTTGATCAGGGTGAAAAGGCGAATAGCTGCTTTCGCTTTAGTAAGGCTCTTTCCGTACTGTAGTGAAGCGTTTTGATCCCCTCTTTAGGCGTTCCTATGGGGCGTATTTACGGATACACTGCCTTTTCATATCAAAAATGCTTGTGATTGCTGCTTTATGACACATGAACTGATGCTTGATGGGCCTACGCTTCCACATAATATAACCATGCGCTGGGAAAGAAGCTTTTGCTATGCAGTGCAGTAAAGGAAATCTTATTGATGAGAAATGGGAATTTCTCACAGCGTCTGTTTTGTTGTACCATTCACCAGCACATTTACTCGGAACTCCGAGCTGCACTGCATGGCTTCTTGGTGCTGACTCATCCAGACGTCTGAACTAGGCTTCTGACTTGGATCACTCACCCTCTCCTCATATTCTTCACCCACTCCTGGACAACCTTACTGCATGCTTTTGCTTTTTCTTCCTTTCTTCTTAGTTCCTTGCCTCAATTTAGGACCATGGTGACGAGCCGGATGCGAAAACTTTGACTACAAGTGGAACCTCTACGACCTCGAAAAGCTCTCTTCAAGCGGATTTGGAAACAGATCTAGAGAATGTATCACCATCGTTGCTCACATCCTCTCCTACTAACACCAAAGCGAAGCTTAACACTGGTATTCCAAAGCCTTCTAAAATCCGGCCTCCCACCGTTACCGCTAAACTCAGACCAACGGAGACTAACAGTGTACAGGTATATCATCCCATGCTCGTTTTCAAGTATCGTTCTCCTACCACGTCTCCATTTCACCAAATGATTTTAGGAAGATACCCGCATATCCAAAATACCAAAACTGTCGGATGGCTTGCGAACGACAAGTAACGGGCAGTGGTGAGTTGGCTTCTTAGCATCAGATCAATTACACCAGTGTCCCTTCATATTTCCTTTGGAACACGTGTCAATGTGGGGTCTTATTGAGTGTTTGGGAGGAACTAGCTCGAAAGGGTCCGTTAACGGGTTTTAGAGTGAAGGAGTTTTTGAGGATTGCATCCAATTTTTGAGGAATTATTTTCGGGGATTCAGGTTACCATTTGAAAGTCCTCGCTTATTTCATTGCTTTATTATTGGATTTTCTTTTGAAAAGCCCCGCACCCCCTCCCCTCCCCATTTGCTCATAAAAACGACTGAGTTTCCGAGAGTCAGGCAGGAATTTCGTGTAATACCAGGCCTGGTCCTGAGCTGGGTTTTGACGGAGTTTCATTGGTTTTTGAAAGAAGTTTACACCCAGTCACTCACCCCTTTAGGGCTATGAGTTTGTAGGTTTTTCGGGAGGCTCAGACATCGCATGGACCAGGCGACAGAGCCTGTATAGGTGGTATAGATTAGCGGCTATTGGAGCCGAATATCGCCATTCTATAACCGCATTCATTCTCCTAATTTTTTCCTTATTATTAATATCCACTTCAAATCATACTTAAGGAGGAAGTTTTCAGTACAGCAAATTATTCCCAAGAGATGTACATTTGTAGTGATTGCGTACAATGTAAAAGCTTATTTCAGCGCATTTTCTGGAACAACGCACATTCCTATTAGGTCTGGTTTCGACCGAACGTCACAAAGTCGACTAATAACTGATTTGTAATCTGCTCGCGTTTTCGTTGCTTTGGTTTCGCCTGCCAGCTTGAGAGTACTCAATGGGTTGGGTTATCTCCGTCGTCGCCCAGTTCGGTCACTATGCACCTGTGCGAGGGTACAAGAAAAACACCAAGGGACAGATAGATGATCTCGTAGGCATTGCCCACAGTCTACGACCTCAGAAAATCAGAAATGAGTGGATCTGCAAAAAAATTACTCTGCTTCGGAAAACGAGAAGAACGTCGAGTGCAGACCACACACCACAAGTGACGACGGCCAAGAAAAAAGTTTTTTTCTTGGCCGTCGTCACTTGTGGTGTGTGGTCTGCACTCGATGCTCCTTCTCGTTTTCCGAAATAGAGGGTAGATACGCAGTGATTGTCAAAGTAGGAGGATGGTGAACTGTTTTTGCACTTGACCGAATGCCAATGGGTGGGGTCAACTCGTCGATACCTATTCGTTGATGTTCCGCCGTTTCGCTTACGTCATTTTTCAGTGCACCGATTCTCGAAGTCGAATCTATATAATTCTTTTCGCGGATCATCCTTTTTTCCTGAGGTTGTAAACTGTAAACAGTGCCGTAGTGGCGCAGAAAGTGCATAGTGATAGAAATCCGGAAATAGGCTGTCTTCTACATCTAATCAATCCTACGTCATCTCGGTTTGCATCTACTAAATTTGTAATTTTCGTTTTTTTTTGTACTCTTGGCATTTTGTACAGTTAGTTACCCTTTTTGCTCTTGCATGTCGTTAATCTATACATAGTATCTCTTGTAATATTAATAAAATTTGTATGTTGTTGTTTATTACTTTTCGCATTCAAGGGTACATTCCACAAAAATGCGTTCGGGGTAGTGAAGCTAAAATATTAAATAATAGGTTCTATGTGGCCTGATGATCAGCAAAAAAGTAAAAGAAACTGCCGAAGAGGCTCAAGGCCTCTTGCTTATTTTTGATCTGGATTATTGTACGAGCCTACGGCGAAGATAGTGCGCGGTCGAAAGAATACAAGGATGAGGGAGACGCAGACAGGGGCTTGGTTGTCAGGAAGCGGAGCTTACAGCATTTTGGGTCTAATATTGCTGGCTCTCAGCCGCCTCCTGCGACAGTTGAGGCATCCATTTCTCTCGTAACTATGAATATTTTCACATGCTCCATATA